TGGACGGATGCTTGTAAATAATATATGCATTTATCAAATATGTATGCCCCTAAGTCCACCTCTGTTTTTAAATAGCGAATAAAAGGAAACGGAATTATTGATTTTATTATCAAGGCGTAGTTCCGTATTTGTTATTTGCGCATTTAAAACTTATCGTACGACAATCAAATTTGAGCAGGTGCGAGTATGCAGCTACGTCCAGTCAGAATGAGGCGTGTAGAGAGAGTGCCACGCTCTCTGATCGTAAAAAACTCCTGCAACAACTTGTTGGTTGCCTGTTGCAAGGCAAAATTTCTGTCCCTATCCAATATACCCTCATTTTTCAGTGACGATCTAAAGTTTGCCGACCTTCATCCTGAACGGATTCTATTACAGGACCTTCCTTTTGTATTTTTTGTTAATTTGATATCGTCCTGAATGTGCAGGAAATATTTGCCACTGGACGTTAAGTAGCCAATAATCAATCATTTAAAATAAGCCGTTTATATATACATTACAAAGAAACTTAGACTCCCAATAAATAATAAAATTACAGTAACAAAAACATTAATCCGCCTATGTACTATTTCCCATTGACAATAACATTTGAAGTGAATGGAATATCCGATAACAGCATACTTTTGAAGCGCTTTTCTGTATTTACTTACATCCGGAACGATCAAAGCTGAATATTTGAAAGCCAGGTATATATAAGAACCGAAACATTTGAAGAGGTGTTTGGCCTAAAGGGACATAAAAAATAACAAAATCATTCTAAGGTCAACTTTGCCTGAGGGAGTTGAAACCTTAGTTTCTTTATAATTTATATATAAATGGCCTATTTTAAATGATTGATTATTGGTTGCTAAACTTCCAGATGCAAATATTTCATGCATGTTCAAGACGATATCAAATTATCAATAGATACAAGGTCCTGTAATAGAATTCGTTCAGGACGAAGGTCGGCATACTTAAGATCGCCACTGAAAAATGAGGGTATATTGGATAGGGACAGAAATTTTGCCTTGCAACAGGCAACCAACGAGTTGTTGCAGGGGTCTTAACGTACAGAGAGTGTGGCACTCTCACTACACGCCCCATTCTGATTGGACGTAGCTGCATACTTGTACTTTGCTCAAAGTTGATTGTCGTAAGATAAGTTTCAAATGCGCAAATAACAAATAGGGAACTATCCCTTAATAAAAAAATTAAATATCCCGTTTTTTTTAATCGCCATTTGAATCATAGGTGGATTTAGGGGACAGGTAGCCCGCCGACTCTTAATGGAGCTACATATTTGATAAATGCATATACTTTTTACAAGCATCAGTCCAAACGTTGGCTAACTTGCCCCAACCTTTTCAAATTCCTGGATCCGCACCTGAAAATGTGCCAAAATTGAAGCCCCTCGTGGAGCTATCCAAGTCAAATATGCAGAAAAATACTATTAATAACATCATTTAGAGCAGCAATCACAAAGTTGACAAACAGTTTCTGCTTGCTGTTCATTTATTTAGAGAATCAAAGTGTGTCAATATCAGGTGTAACTAGTTAATTTTTCGACTAAAAGAATCATATTTATAATTTTCATCCTGAAGACTAAGCAAGTTAGACTCTTGTTTTATATTATATTAAGTTTTTCAGAAAATATTGTTTTCGTTTTGATTTGGTTTTGTAAATATCATTTCGTTTCGTTCCGTTCTTATCCACTTCGCATTTGTAACAGGTATCCACTTTTTAGTCCTTCCCCCTTTCCTATATTTTAATCAACAATCAAAACATTCAAAATTTCAAAAATCGAAATGATCAAAACTGTACGTTCAGTTTAGTATTATTAAAGTTTGCTTAAATATCTAAAATATTAAATTTTAAAATGGAGTTTATAATTTTAAAATTTTTAATATTTGGTGAAATTTTAAAATTTTTAATATTTGGTGAAATTTTCAAATTTAAAAAAAAAATGTGGAATTTTGATATTTTCAACTTTGATCAAAAATCCAATAAACTAAAATTCGAAAACTTTTTAAAATTTTAGAATTGATAAGTGTTACACGGACCGTCCCCAAGTCTAGCATAAGTTCGGTTGTCCGTGCTTCGTAACTGATAAGAGTTATGAGTTAAACACTTATTTCGTAAACTGTAGTAAATTTAAAAACTATTTATCAAGAAAACTAAGGTTATTATTAAAAAACGATAGAAGACACCAAGGATACACAATAAGCTACGCATTTAGTTAACTCTCGATAGTCCTAAGTTAAGATCATTATTTTTAACGTCCTAAGTAGTTGTACATTTATTGATCGTAATATTTCTATTTTGAGCTGATATAGAGAAAATTGTTCCGAACGCTATAGTTGTGAAGCGTTAAGGTTATAATTATGCAATAGCTCTATTCTGACTCAAGGTTGCACTTCTGAAGACATAAACATACAATTAGAACTTATTTTACTGTTGAAACTACGCACACGCCAAGTAATTGTGTAAAAAAATTAAATCCTAGAATTGAAAGTTCATATGCAATTATTTTTCAAAAGTTCAAACCATCGGACCGTGCATCATATTCTCAACATGTATATGCCTCGAACGTCGAAAAATCAAAACGTAAATAGATTCTCTACTACTCTTCCCTTCACGTTTGATCTTCCTCATAATTAAATTTGGCAACTATCCATGTGTATGTAAAATGGTTATATTTCCATATTGTGTCTCTTTGAGATGACAAAAACAGTAAAACAACAAAAATACTGAACTCTTACGAAAAAATCAAATCGGAAAGTCCCTTATCAAATGGAAAAATCAAAACCTCAAACACATCAAACGACTGGAAAACAGCTGTCATACTCCTGACTCCGTACAAGCAATTACTAATGTAGAAAGTGGTGAGTTAAACCCTGATTAATAGCTAGCTAATGCTCTCAGTTGTGTCACAGTCGCTTACAATTCCTTCACGTTGATAACAATGTGTGAACACAAACAAACAGACATAATAGGTAAAAATGTCACAAATAAGGGCACAACAGTCAACACTGTGTTACTATCCCAATCACAATAAAAACACACAAATTTGCCAACAAAGAAAAACAAATGATATCAAGACAATGCACATAAAGATAAGAATACACATTTTATTGGAGACCTCATTAAACTCGGTTCCAAGAGAACTACTACGAAATACACTTGTTTTTGCTAAATAAAGAGAGTCAATTTACACCCTTCCGGAGCACCTGAGATCACCGAGTTTTTGGTGAGGTTCGTGTTGCTTAGTCTTTAGTTTTCTATGTTGCATCTTGTGTACTATTATTTGTCTGTTTGTCTTTTTCATTTTTAGCCATGGCGATGTCAGTTTATTTTCAATCAATGAGTTTGACTGTGCCTCTGGTATCTTTCAGCCCTTTTTTACACCCAATTTTATTTACACCCAATTTTATCGTGATCGGAAGATGTTTTTGAATTCACGTTCACCTTAATGATCGATTCAAAAACGATTTCATAGCTAATGTATTTACATTCTATACCCATATGCATCAGTTAAATAACCAATTATTTTAATGCCCCATATGCTCCTTTATTACAATTGGCTTATCAATGGTGGGGAAAACAATACATGAAAAAAAATATTGCAGGATGATAATGTACGAAAGATATAAGTATATCCAATTAATCATCAATCTGACGTCGAATAATCTCTACTGATGTCTTTTGACTAGTAAGGAAATCTGGAAGCTCCATGATAGTGTTACCCTAGCTAAATAACAAATTTTACAAATATTAAAGAGACCATTCTAACCGGGAACATGTACTATTCTAATATAATGACTTTAGATAAAGGTCAGATTTCGAAACGAAATGATTTTAGATTAATTCATTTTGAGAAACTGATTAGTGCGTCTGTGCATTCAAATGTGGAAGAATACGATATTGATTTAATTTAGTTCATTCTGACATGGCCTGTTTTTGGAAAAAAAATATTTATTGTCCGAAAAGTTTTTGTCTCTGTGATACATTCCCCATTTCCATTCTCAATTTTAATGTAAATGTAATATTCGAGACAATCTAAAGAATCAATGATAGTGAAACATTCTGTATAGTAAAAAAAAACAAATTATTTTATAATAATTACACCTTATATAAGAATGCAGGATTTTGATTGGTAGGTAGCAAATGTATTTTTCGCATATTTTAAACTTCTGTCATCATTTCAAACGAATGTGTCTGTTGTTCACCACTGCCGGTATAATGCCTCAAATTCCCCTCTATGCCGTTGTATTTGCCAATTTGGATAATCCTTTTTTACCTCTTCTCGCCAAACTATTCGGATATGACGAAACATAAAAACAGCGCTAACGCTTACTGTAAAAAAAAAATTTCCCTTCACCTGTAGAGAGAGTTTCAATCAAAATCATATCGGTGTAATTAAACAGATATATGTCATGGAGGGATATTTGCGTCTTGGGACCAAATTGCACTATCCCTACTATCAAATACCCTTGCATAACATGATATATCTGTTCAATATATATCGATGAGATAAGAGTATTGATAGATATTTTTCCTTTAAAAAATAAACATGATTGTACTCAGTTAAGTTTGATAGTAAATAGGTAGAAGGTAGTAGTATTTAAAAGATTTTAATCTCCAAAATCTTTTTTTTTTATACAGAAACCAAAATAAAAATCGCTTACGGAATCACACAAACTAAAAAGGAGAGGTATGAGGTGCTTATATAGAATAAGCATTTCTTGCTTTACATGCATCACAAGCCAATTCCTTTACGTTATATACCATACAACGTGTTGACACATAGGCACATCGATATATCGTTTCTATCAACCCATTCATGATTGGGACAAAACAACTTTTATAGTGTCAGTTTCAGTGACTGTCGGTTCTGATCATGCCTGTTAATATACTAATGTGCATACACAAGCGCGACATGTAGCAATTGAGTTATGTAAAAGGTATACAATGGGACAACGCTCTTTGTTCTGCTTAGATAGGATATTCAGTTGAATTTTACAGAACAAGAAACGGAACTCTTTATTAGAGAAGAAAAAATAAATAATGCCATGTCAAGTTGTTGTATTTGAATTGCTAACATCTCTGGTCTTAAAAGATCAATGAAGGTGCATAATTTAGGATTCATGCATCTTATTTACCTAATGTTTTCTAAAATTATAGTATGGATCTTTGAGATATCTGTTAACTTTAAAATTAATGGCAAACAGCCGATGATTGTAAATTAAGGTCAGGTTTGGGAATTTTTGTCAGATGTTAGGACTCCATCGGTTTTTTCCTACGATACAGGGTAAAATATTTTCCCCATAACACTCACTTTCCGTTTCATAGAAGACTTCAGTAGCTAATAAAAAGTTCATTTCCATAAATGTAGGCAGATTATATATATATATATATATATATATATTGTTTTTGTGATTATAAAGAGAGCAATATACAGTTAATGCAAAATTCCGAATCAGCCTTTTCCCGCCTTTTCAGGATAATCAAACATCTTAAAAAGTAGTTCCATAACGTATTAACATATCAATATTTTAGCTTATTTGGTTCTTTAACTTATGCTCTTCGGATTTATAGTATCAATTTCAAACTCTCTATATCTTTTCCTAATTTCACCTAAGTCTATTCAAACCACTGCTATGTTCTGGTCTTGAATTGTTTTGTTTTGTCTACCACAGCATATATGTGAGAAGAATTGTCAGGTTTGCTATTACTATCAACCATAACACGCTGTTTGTCTACGGCTGCATACACATTACAATTTCTAGCTTGAGGAATAACATTATCAAATTTAGAGACCTCAGTATCATTGTTATTCTCATATCCTGGCACTAAATCGCAACTCTGTGGGTTTCCATTCGGCGGCGCGTCTCTTGAAAGCGTACGGGGTACAAGGTCTCCAACAGTGCTATAGTTTACATCGTGCTCTGTGACTGTATAATTTGTATGTGGATTTTCATTGTTAACAGTACTATTGTCACCTCCAAACTTATCTGCATATTCTGCTGATATATATAACACGTTGTATTTCAATCCGTCGTAATTTGGATCATCTTGTTCATTGGTAAGAGCTATGTCCGGCCTGTTTGTTTCCGGTGCTTTTCGGGTTTTGTTTAATGATTTTCTAAAAATAAATGTGCATGTTATTAGTATACTGAGTATTTCTTTCTATACAAACATAGTTTCAAATAGTCAAATAAAAAAAATGTTCAATGCTTTAAATTATTTGTAAAGAAAAAAAACATGATGATTAAAATTTTATGAAAACACATTTTTGGGTAAATATCTTAGAATTCTCGTTAATTGAAATATTAGTGTATTTGTAGAAGTAACTGAATTAGCTGGAAATATTTTGATAATAATTGACGGTCAAGGAGTTTTACCTTTTACAGAATATGATCACTATTACCAATGTCAGTATTAATAGGACGCCAGCACTTGTTCCAGCTTCTATGTATATTGTAGAATTATCTGGCATAAAAAACATAATATGTAAGTATCATAATCATGTCTAAAGACATTGGTTTTTATTGGTACTTTGACATATATCACATCCGTTCATTAATATTGTTTATGAAAAGATTTACTTGTCGTCCTTTGCGTTTCCGTCCACTCATGCATTCATGTTTAAAATTAGCGACGAAAATTGTCCTGGTTATATGTTGATTTTTTTTATGTTTGGAGTTTCTTATTAATTGATCAAATCGTAAATTTTGTTATGTTAAATAATGACGAACAGTGTCGGTCATTTAGGTTCATACATTACTTATCTTCTTCTTCCATTTTATATCGTTTTACATTGTGTTTCCTATAGATTTGTTTTTATTCATTTTTGATCTCTTAGCTATCATCCAAATTTGTCTTTAATATTTTTAACACTTTCATAAACTCGGTGCTTCTTACAAAACGTTTTTTACCTATAGTTGTTTATCGCTGTATGGTTTTGTCATTTATAATGAGTTGTCTCATTAGCAATCATACCACTTCTTCTTTTGTATATTTTAGGTATCTACTGCACTTTTTAATTTAAGTATTTTGCAGTGGAGAATTCTTGTTTGACCACTTATGTTATGGCGTCTTGTAAATTACTATGTGTATTAACTATACTAAATCATCAAACGGAACTAATCTAAACAGAACCTATTTACAATATATGTATCTAAACAAAAAGACGTCCATTCATATTTGTATTGCAATAAAGGTATGTTGTCATTATTTGTTTTAAATAAGTTATATGGATAACCCGTTATGCAGATATATCAGATTAAAATGTTTTATCATTCCAAAAGAAAGACATATCTTTCCATTTCAGACTGTTACAGACCAAACAATCTTTATATACAATTATACTAAAAGTCTTGTTAATGGATGTTAAAACAAAAAAGGTAACTCGGAAAGTGGCATCCTAAAGTGGATCACTACACTTTAATATTTATGTAGCATACCCCTGATTGTCAAGAATTTCGTTTTGATTGAATGTCGTTATAGTTTAATGTATATTGAATTTTCACTTTTATGATGATAAAGTTTGTACATTATCGGACATATTAAACAAATGTATTTACATAAAAACATAAATAGTCTGGCGGTATCTATTTTATTCATCATATATCACCTTTTGGTTAAGGATTATGGCATTAGTAGTTAAATTGGTATGATCTAATAAATCAGAATAGTGTGTTGACGAAATTACCAGTATTGTTCATTAATGAACCTGGTGACGTTGGGTGGTCCTTTGATGTGGAATCTGTAGCTGTCGGAAGACAAGTGAAATTATCTGGAGACTGTGTAGTTGTCATGTGTAGGGATGGTGTTACCCCAGGTTCGCCACAAACTATCTTCAGAGTGTCATTATGACCACCCACTGGTCCTAAACATATGTTATTGATTGCTTCGTTAGTGTGTGTTTGTTAAACTATTTGATTTAAAGTTTATTCATTTTTAGCAAACAAACTTCTTCTTAGGTTGTTTAACATAATCGAAATGTAATGCCGATTCTGCTGCAGTATAATCATATGTTCTGTTCATTTAATTAAATGTACTCACTTCAAAAATCGGAATGTGAATGTTATTATCTGGTTTTAGTAAGTGGAAGTAAAATATAAAGAGTACTTTTAAATATAATTCCGCAGATGTCAGTGTGTCTGTTCCAAGTCAGTAACTTTAGGGTTCGTTGTGTTTTGTTATTGTTCATGAATAGTTTAGATTCGTTTATTAACGCGTTGATCAGCGCCTCAACATTTGAATAAGTTTTAGGTTTACAAATGTATAGACATTGAATATCACTGACGAGCCATTAAATGTTTAACTACTCACCTAAAGTAGAATTTGTACTGTTAATGTTAAGAAATGTGATGAAGAGTTGCAAAATATCAGGAGAAAAATAGTCATTTTGCAAATTCCATACATTTGTATTTGTTTCCCATTTGTTTTTTTTTGTAGAATTTTTTTTAGGCTTTACATATATTGCATTTTACATCGAATCTTGACGATATAGAGCTTGGTATATATAAAAGACACTTGTCGTCTATTTGTTAAGGGTGTATGATTACCTCAAGATGTCATTTGATTTCTTATAAAGTTTCTATCTTAATATACATGTAATTTGCTCCCCACGTTTTTATTCGTATGTTTTGGGTTTTGTTGTAGATCAAATGTAAACAGGAAACTTGAGTACTAACGACTTTCATTAGTAGTTTTAAGGATAATCGATATTTTTGCAATATTATTCGTTATCAAAAAGCCTTAGAAATATTCATAGATATCTTTGGACTGTTACCGCGGAGAACACGTCTAGTCAAATACTTCGAATGCATGAAAGGCTAGATTTTCACTACAACAAATTCACCTCTTTGTACATCGATACAGTATCCTCTTGTTAAATTTCCATCAATAACGTTTGAAGTAAATCTTAACACACCATTTCTTGGAAACGACAATGAACGAGAAGTTTGTCCAGATGTGCATCCAATTTTATCCAAATCATTTTGTTTGATGTCCATCTGATACAATTCAAGGTTCAGTTCCAATCCGCATTCTTTCTTCTTTGGTGATGCACTAGTACTGTTTAATGTCATATATGGTTCTATAGTTGTTTGGAGATTTTTTTGACTTTGATTTTCAACAAATACCAGGCATATGCAATTATCTTCCTGTGTCCTTACGCGTAGTGTTACATGATATATTACATACCCGTCCTTCGATTCACCAATATTTTCTATTGCATAACCACCTTGACACATATTAGTTACTAAAAAGTAAAGAAATTATTTTTGAGATACACTCTTAAACATGGTTTCGTTGAATAAAACTAATTAAACAAGGCGTGTTTAATAAAACTAGTACTGTTAGCAATGTCCAATTAATGATACCTCCACCACTGCATAGTCCATACTGTGCTATGAGAAACCCCAAAAGTAAATGAGGTTAAAAACCAAATATATGGTGAATGTTGGCATTTATGGTGATGTTTCTGTCAATACTTCATTACATTCCGATTAGAGAACCGGATATAAATGCGTACTGTATTGTGAATATGATTTGTTGAAGGAAACTGGGAAAATAATGATTCTAATAACAAAAAAGGGAAATGCACAATAGCCATGTTTGGTTAGGATTTCAATAAATTTTTAAGGGTTAACCAAGAGCTGCGGATACAAAATTAGTAACTCCAATCAATGCAATGATAAAGTCTATGCTTTGGTAAAGGAAACCTCACAAATGAATATCAGCAATAAACAAAGTAAGAGACGCACAATAACATGAATAACATTTTATGGGTTAGATTGTAAGAATATTCAAATAAAATATATTGATGGCTAAGAATGAGTTGCGGATACAGAATTCAATTGTGTCGTATGGTGTGCAGATATGAATAAGTTCGTATCATCCCAAAGTAAACCCAACTACCATTGGTATGAAGACATAAGATAAGAGGTGCAAATGTACATCATGAACATGAACTACGATTGTTTGAAAGAGTTTCATTATTTTTTCAAGCTGATGGTGGAACAAATATTAACAGAAACGGACGAACTCATCCATCATTATATACCACCACTGTAGAGAGCAGTGGTTTGAAAATACATCCAATGATTTTTTTTATTCTCTTCTAGCAAGCTAGTCAAACAGATGAAAAAAACAATCAGAGTTACACTCCGAATAAGGGTTACAGTTCCATTAATTCAATTGATCAACATTGTAATGAGTACTTGAATCGGTATAATAGATTTACTACAAAAATATAATTTTATATTGGAACAATAGATGTGTAATTAAAAAATGGTTATGTAGATTCCTTGCATTAACACTTGCATCGCTATAGATGTAGGTTATCTTAATGATTACCGTCTGATCATGAGATTGAGAATAAAAATAGGGAATATGTCAAAGAGAAAACAACTCGACCAAAGACAGATCACAATGGGTCTTCAAGCACCGAAAAAATCCCACACTCAGTGGCGGGCCCGAGCCGGCCCCAAATAAAAATGTGTACCAGTTTAGTGAAAACGGACGTCACACTTAACTGCCAACATACAAATATACTTAATTAAAAAACATACAATAAAATTGAGAATGGAAATGGGGAATGAGTCAAAGAGACAACAACCCGACCAAAGAGCAGACAACAGCCGAAGGCCACCAATGAGTCTTCAATGCAGCGAGAAAACTCCCGCACCCAGAGGCGTGCTTCAGCTGGCCCCTAAACAAAAATGTATACTAGTTCAGTAATAATGAACGTCATCCTAAACTCCCAAATATACACAAGAAACTAAAATTAAAAATCATACAAGACTAACAAAGGCCAGAGGCTCCTGACTTGGAACAGGCGCAAAAATACTAACAAATGCAGCGGAGATAAACATGTTTTGTGAGATCTCAGCTCTCCCCCTATATTTTTTTGCCAATTTAGAATAAAGAAACACACAGTAATAGGCAAAATAAAACTCAGTTTAAACGAAGTCCGATGGCAAAACCAGCAACAAAATAAACCACGCAAAATGACAATGAAACATATATTAACAAAGGACTACTATCATGTACTGACATGATAGGTCCAGACCTCAAATAAACTGATTAAAAGATGATATCTTCACTATATGACAATCAAGCACAATCCCTCCCGTTAGGGGTTTCGTATCATACTATCATAAAATATATGAGCAGAAAATAACCCGTATCATGCCAACAACAGGTTTTAGAATAAATGTGTTTATGATGCAAAGACACTACAAGTTAATCAAAATTAATACCAAAATATACCATCCTTAATGACCTGACAACAGTATCCTTTCTGAATAAGTCTGTTTAAAAAGGTTTGGTTGGCTTTTGAGACGAATGCCGACATTTTTATGCTTTGTAAAGAATATTACCATTAAAGGTTAGATGTGAAATGTCTGAACGTTTAACATGTTCGCATGTTGATTTGATTTTTTACGAATGATGTCCTTGTACCGATTATAAAATTAAGTAAATGTTTTGACTAGTTTGTGATATCGAAAACCCTAGTGTATTAATTTTTCAGTTATAAAGAAATTTCTTATGTTAAAATCAAATACGTTGTTACATTAGAGCGAATCAAACAAGTTGAGATATATAAACACAATAAGATGGTGATAAGGGAACGTCACCGTCTAAAAATGGATATTTAACAAAAGGAAATGAAAAATCATCGCTTTTATCATAAATTTCGGTATTAAGCTTCCCGTGAAAGATATAGATATCAAGATCAAGGAAAGGGCAGTGTCCATTGTTGGTATTAGCTTTATTTTAATTCAATTCGGCAGGATAAATATCTTTAGTGTATTACTGAATTATTGAGAGCCAATATATCATCCAAATATCTTAAAGTGTTATTGAATTGTTGTATCAGATGAAGTTTGGATGGGTATTTGCTGAATTTTGCCATAAATTGTAACTCATAACAATACAGAAAAAAAGGTCCGCAATGAGTGGTGCACAGTAAGTCCCCATTGGAATTCCGATAACTTGACGATATACGGAATTTCCATAGTTAACAAAAATGTTATCTAATAAAAATGCAATGGTAGTTATAGTATCAAAACAGGTCCAATTGACATAGTTCTTTTGTTTGTTAAAAAATTACATACAAGTGTTTGAACATATATATTCGCATTCTGACTTTTTAAATGCCCATTTAATGAGGTGTGTGAATTTTTTCTTAATAAGATTATGAGCCAAAGTGGTAAATAGGGTAGAAAAATCAAAACTTTGAACAGATTCAAATCACCAATATAATCATGCAATTGATCAAGTGCTTCCAACGAATTTTTTGACACTCCAATGCATACATTGAGGCGCCTATCCTGTCGACACCCGTTGGTGCACCTTTTAGAGTTCATGCGATTCGTTTTGTTACCTCGGAAAAAGAAGTAAAATAACAAAAATACCGAACCCTGAGGAAAATTCCAAAACGAAAAGTCCGTAACCAAATGGCAAAATCAAAAGCCCAAACACATCAAACGAATGAATAACAACTGTCAAAGTCATGACTTGATAAAGGATTTATCTTTTCTGAACATATTTTGTTTTCTAAGTTTATCAACAACAACAAAAAATGTATGTAAAGGTATATAATTCATTATTATTTCATACGCAAAACAGTACTGGTTATCCATGTGATTCTAACAATGCAATATTGATTGATATGTTGTATCCCGGCGATGCACAAGCTCTATAAAGACAGAACAACCCACAAAAACATGACAGCGTTACCTTAAGAATATGAAAAAAATCATTATTCAATTGAAAATCAACAATGTATTTATTTATGTAAATATAAGGAGATGTGATATAACTGCCGATGAGATAACTAACCACCAATGTGCAAATTAAGTGAGTGTAAGGTATGAGAACAAACCGTGTATGTATGTATGTATGTACCTTGAGTGCTCGGCTTGGCCATTCCGCAAGGGTCTGGTACGATGCTCAAACTTACTAAAAAATGAAAAATTGAAATAATCTTAATAAGTTGTACTACTCACAATCATCAGTTCATCTAGATCTTTTCTTCTTGGATCTTTTTGTCTTTGAAAAATACGCAAACAATTTTAACCTGATACTACATGAATGATATACGAATGACATAACACAAACATAATGTTGTTATTTTGCTATATCATCTCTTAACAAAAGTAAAATAACAAACAAACCGAACTCCAAAGAAAACTCAAAACGGACAGCTCTAATCAAAAGTTAAACCCAAAAGCTCAAACACATCAAACGAATGGATAACAAATGTCATCTCTCCCTGACTTGGTACAGGCATTCCTTATGTAGAACAGGGTGGATTAAACCTGGTTTTATAGCTATCTTAACCTCTCATTTGAATGAAAGTCGCATAAAATTCCATTATATTGACAACAATGTGTGAACAAAATAAACATACACAATAGCACTACAAAACTCAAAAAGTCTGAAAAGACCAATTTTTTTTCTGAATTTGCATGAATATTTACTCGACATTCTCTCTTTGTCTGAAATTTTATTAAAATTCTTGACAAAGTCTGAATTTGTCTAAAATAAGTTCTTGATTTTTCTTGACATATGTCTTGACAGTATTAACATTGTCTAAAACATTCTCGACACTTTCTTTGTCATTTTTTAAGTCTCTTGATTAGTCTTGTCTAATTCACGACCGTCTTAAATTTGTCTCAATCAGTTTGACATATTCTTGACATTCTTAATAATGTCTGAAAATGTCTTAACATACTCTTGGCATTCCAAAAAATGTCTGAATATGTCTTGACACATTCTTGACATTCTTAAAGCTGTATGAATGTATTTCGACACATTCTTGACGGTCTTAAAGATGTCTTGACCAATTCAGAAATATGGCAGTTGTTATCTAATAGTTAGTTTCTATGTATTTTGCATTGTCGTTTGTTTTTTGTTGCACTTCAGTGTTTCTGTTGTTTCGTTGTTTTCCTTTTATAGTTGATTTGTTTCCCACGGATTTAGTTTGTAACCCGGATTTGTTTTCTCTCAATCGATTGATGACTTTTGAACAGCGGTATACTACTGTTGCCTTTATGGACCCTACATGTATCTCAACCGTATAAATGACGCCTGAATTGTGTATAAACACATTCCTGACAGTTTAAACACTTTCTTTTGCTGTTTTATTCTCATTTCTTTTATCGCTTAACTAAACTTAGAAGAATTATGGTACAATGATATATTGCTAATTATAAAAAGCTACATTTTGGTACAATAATTGTTTATCTACCATATTAACATTGAGTGTTATGCAAGGAAAATGAAATATGTCTACAGTATGATTTGTTTCAATCATTTAGCAATAATTTATAAGATTTGTAAATCGACATTGCTAAATATTTTCGAACCCACATCTAAATTCGTTTATATCAACATACTCACATTTGTATTTGTTTATATTTCCAAACCCATATTTGTATTGATAAATATATTTATATACCCAAATTTTTAAATTAAAAAAAATTTACATACCCAACTGTTTTTGTTGTTGTAATAAGTGTAACTTGAATTAACGTGTGTTGCTATTTTACATATTTGTGTTTCGATTATTGTTTTTGGACATAAAGTAGGCCGTTAGTTTTCTCGTTTGAATTGGTTTACATATATGCTGTCTAACCACTTTTACATTTATTGAAAAATGCATTATCATTTCTATAAACTACTAGATTAATTATCGTTGTACTTTTTACTCTATTGTAAGGCGTTTACATTACTCCCTTAATATGTTACACTCGGGCATATGTATAATATTAGCAGGGATATGCCCATACACAAAAACTGTTCCATTAGTTATGAAGAAGAAAAACTGAGATGTATACTGCATAATTTTAGGGTCATGAAACTGCTAAACGGGTACGATATAGTAACAGTGACATATTATGACGGTATTGATATTTTTTTCTTTATGTTGATTTTCTTGTTTGCTTGTGTATAGTTGTTTTGTCTTCAACACATGAACATTGAAATGAAAAAAAAAAACAAATGGCCTGATTTTTTCGAAAACATTAAACGAAAAAAAGACAGCACCCAACGATTACAGCTGTCTTAACGCATAAAATATTTGACATTTCTCTTTACTTGGGACAGTGGTGTGACATCACAATATACGACCAACCTAAAACAATCATGTACACATGTATTTTAGAGAATCAATTCGCATACAGTAAATTGAAACCAGTTTATAGGGCAAACATTTAATTACTACATCAAGAATAGTGTACCAGCATTGAACATATACAAAGGTTTCGAATTTTGAGTGACCTGTGTAAGATAAATATAACAAATGATATGATAATATGAGAACTTTGTGTATGCACATTTCTTTAATGGTAAAATATTTGTGACGCTTATTATATAGTCAGATTGGACAATTGACAAAGCTCAAAAAGCAAAGTATGAACCAGTATTTTAATCAAACTTTAAGGATGAAAAACCATCGTTGGCTTTACTTGTAAACAATAGTTCAAAATCATTAAATATACGTCAAGACAGGACAAAGTTTACCTGTAAATGGAACTATTTAACATTTTATACAAAAGCAATGAAAATGGGGAAATGTCAACTAGATGCCATTCCTCATTATAACATCATTATAGTACATACACACACATTTTAGTTCAATATGCATGTGTAAATAAGGGAAGAAGGTAGCGTAAATCGGTATATGTATCAAAATATTTAAACAGATTGTCAATCCCAGTTCAAAATAAGCTTTGTTTAAAAGGATTTTATATTGTATATTGGAACAATGATGAAATATTTTTAAACTGAAAAATTCATAAAAAAATTATCAAGTAAAATAGTCAAATCATACAAGAGTCAAAGTTCAATCTACCTGTTGTGACGTATCCTCGAGACTACGTGTCTGCCAGTAGTGATCACTAATCGTTAATAGTTTTATTTTTCAGACCATCTTTTAAATGTTAAAATCTATTAACCGGGTTGCTTTTTTTTATAACATGAATTATGTTAGTTACATCATCTCAATATAGAAAATTCAAAATTCCCGAACTAGTGTAAATGACTCTACAAAGATTACTCAAAATTTTTAATCACAATGTGCCCAATGTGAAAGGAGTATTACATATTTAAAAGAAAAAACTTGTGATTTACAATTTAAGAACGATATACACGTCTTGGCTCAGTTATCTATTCGATTTGTCCTCACGTCAACTATTACATCATGTTACTTACTGTTGGCTTTCCATATCATCCAGAATAAAAAATATAAATACACAGCATTACTTCCCATATTCAAAACATTATATAAGTACAGATGTCGTCATCGACTTGAATGTCACACTTCATAATACATCTAAAAAATCTAAACATGTTTAAATACCTCATAACCTGTTTCTTAAAAGATAAATAATATGAAATTTACTTTTAAATTTTAGTTGTGTATTTCTTCTTACGCTTTATACCTTTAAAAATGAATAATTATTGATGCATTAGAATTTTTGTCCTAATAATGCACTTCAGAAAACTGTATGTGCATGCATTACACTAGTAAATGTGCCATGCATAAAATCGTGTGAAAATCATGCGTATATAATGCGTATTTTTCGCAAGGAAAAAGTCCAAATCGTGCTACATCCGATTATCGTGCGTTAATTTACGCATGATTTTCGAATGATTCCCGCATGAAAAAATATGCGTATAGAGCTACGTGCGAATTACATGTAATAAATTTACGCATGAAAATCATGTGTAGTCATGGTAAAACTATGTAGTGATTTGTTTGTATTATTTATTTGGCTTTGATTGATTCTTTTTGTAAATGTTATGACAACTTTTGGCTTTTTCCATTTTCATTTGATATATAAATATGTAGTGAAATTTTGAAGAAAAGGAATACCTGTACGGTTTGATTTTTATGTCACAGTTGTATTGCTGGAACTTTTGATGGAACAGTCAATGACAAAATGCTATACTGTATTTTAAGGTGATGATAAGTTTTATCTGTATTTCCTTATAGCTTCCTAGTGTTCTATCTAATTTTGTTTCTGATGCAATACACAAGGATTTTGGTAAAGTGAATTGTTGTTAAACCAGGTGAATGTTGATGATAACTCTGATTTAAAATCCATTTAAACATTCTAATGAATATTCCAGGGTAAATCAACAACAATCCCAAGTATTTCAATTCTTGTCTTTGGTTCATATCATATTTTTTTCATATATTAACTGGTTAAAATTAAGGCTATTCAATTTAGTTTTCTCTTATTTTTATGTCTAGGTCGTTTTATCACTATATATGTTTTGGGGTTTTTTTTTTTGGCATAGTTGGAGGACATATGGTGACCTATAATTGCTTACTATCACATCATTTGAACTATGGTGAATATTTTTCTCATTGGTAATTCAACCAAATTTCCTTCTTTTATAGGATCTTTGAATTATCTATCAAGAGTGATTGATCTCAAGAGTGATTGTGAATGGTGTATACTTTCTTTTATCAGTTTTGAATGTATCTGTTTTCTTCAAACGTTCTTAATACAAACACCAAAATATAATCGTCAATCTTATAATATAGATTTTTATTCTCCTTTTATTTTTTTCAGTTTCCGCGGTACATGAATGTCAAAATAAATGTCTTCTTCGTAAATCAAAATATTGTATTTTTTGTAATATTCCCATGTAAAAGAGGTAGTCTTCTATATCCTGTATTGGTTATTTGCCTTCGTGTGTATATCATGCGTGACACTTTAACCTGTGTACAAGTGGTGATACTATAATTAAATCTTTAATCTTGAATCTTGCATCTAATAATATTTTCATTTTACACAAACAATGTACATGTATTTAATGTAAAGAGGTAGAAGATTGAATGCAATTAGCCAGTATATCCAGAATATATTTTTAAGAGCAGTTGGTCTTTCCCGAAAATTTACTCATATCACTATGCAAACAATATGCTACTATGTAATGTATGCAATGCATTGTTGTCTATTCACGAAAAGTTGTGTTTTCAAGATGTAGGTCTAGATATATACTTTTATTTGCAGGATCAAATATTGAATCTGAATACATTGTATATTATTACTGTTAAATGGTATTTCCATTTCATTTTAGTATTTTTATCGTCAACATTTAGATATTTGACGCACTATAATGAAAAGAGATGCGTTGTCAAAAACATATGTATCTCGAAAGTATCTTTAATTATTTGGTTGCTGAAAAGTACTATTTTCGACGACATTTATATTTTTATCTCAGTTAATGATCCCAGGACAGCCATATTTCTATTTTGATTTTCAACCCTATATCCACCATTTCCCATGTGAAATTATAATTTTGAAAATACTTTGAACGACAAAATTATTTTATATTTCTTCCTGTGTGACGTTTACATTTTCTGGCGTCAAACACGCGACTCTACACTAAGAGTAGATGTGAATGCAGTCACAGGACTTTAAATATTTCAATCCTTTATGGATTGATTTAAAATACATATATAAGTAAGCAAAGAATGTGGTTGTTATATTTGATAGATGCTTTTTGTGCTTCTTTGTTAAATGTTTGTTTGTTTTGAGATTGTGACACACTGATGACTGCTGTACCCATATTTTGACAGTGTTACATATTATGTCTTTTTTGTTCACGCATCGTTGTAAATATAACTGAATTTGATGCGACTGTCATACAAGTGAGAGGTTTAGCGCTATAAAACCAGGGTCAATCCACCATTTTCTACATTTGAAAATGCCTGTACCAAGTCAGGAATATGACAGTTGTTGTTCATTCGTTTGATGTGTTTTATCATTTGATTTTGCCATTTGATTAGGGACTTTCCGTTTTGAATTTTCCTCGGAGTTCAGTATTTTTGTGATTTTACTTTTTGCTATATATTTTTCGACATGAATAACAGTAAACTTATGCTTTATTTCTGCATTTTAAAGCTTCTGATGTTTAAAATAATATATCAATAATAATGGTCATTATTACAATATTCCATACTGAAACTTTGTGTTTGTTAATTTTTCAGTTTGCTGTTATCTGAATTATATTATTGCTGGATATCAATACAATTCCAGCGTCATCATACTGCTATAATAGTATGATGGTATGATACTAAACCCCTAACGGGAAGGATTGTGCCTGATATTCATATGATGAAGACATAATCTTTCAATCAGTTTAATTGAAGTCTGGAGCTGGCATGTCAGTTAACTGCTAGTAGTCTGTTGTTATTTATGTATTATTGTCATTTTGTTTATTTTCTTTGGTTACATCTTCTGACATCAGACTCGGACTTCTCTTGAACTGAATTTTAATGTGCGTATTGTTATGCGTTTACTTTTCTACATTGGCTAAAGGTATAGGGGGAGGGTTGAGATCTCATAAACATGTTTAACCCTGCTGCATTTTTGCGCCTGTCCCAAGTCAGGAGCCTCTAGCCTTTGTTAGTCTTGTATTATTTTTAATTTTAGTTTCTTGTGTACAATTTGGAGTTTAGTATGGCGTTCATTATCACTGAACTAGTATATATATTTGTTTAGGGGCCAGCTGAAGGACGCCTCCGGGTGCGGGAATTTCTCGCTGCATTGAAGACCTGTTGGTGACCTTCTGCTGTTGTCTGGTCTATGGTCGGGTTGTTGTCTCTTTGACACATTCCCCATTTCCATTCTCAATTTTATGAACATACAGTATTATAGTTCAAGAGAACTTAGACTTCAATCAAAGCGACACATTTCATGTAATAAATAATAGTTTATATTTGATGACCTACGATTTTCGTCTTCAAAAATCACAGAACGACAAATTTTAAATCTATAAAAGATAATATGCAAGCTACGTAATTTACTTACTTAGTAACTCCATTCATCATTGCAACAAGTTAGTTAAAAATATGAATCTACCAAATTGAAATGTGCCTTTCCTGATTTAGAAAATCATATTTATGATCCGAGTACATGTATGTCTTTTAAAAATATATGATTTACAACTCATGATCTGATATCAGTACATACAATTATGTAAACCGAAAAGCTTATTCGGCATCTTTATGTGTGGTCATTTTTTTAAAATCATAGTCTTAATATTAGTTATAAATATTTTTAAAAAACAAAATTCGTGCTAGTAGCATTGATTCTTGCCTAAATGGATCAAGATATGGAATGTTTACAAGGAGGATGAGATATAGATGATTTTTCATTAAGAGTACAATGGAAAACGTTAAGAGTGTTAGTAGTCAGCACTTCTGTGCTGACATGAATTATCATTGATATGGTCAATTTTTGAAATATTAAGGCTTTTCTACCTCAGGAATAGATTACCTTAGCTGTATTTGGCAAAACTTTTAGGAATTTTGGTCCTCAATGCTCTTCAACTTCGTACTATATTTGGCCTTTGTAACTTTTTTGGATTCGAGCGTCACTGATGAGTCTTTTGCAGACGAAATGCGCGTCTGGCGTAAGTACAAAATTTAAATCCTGGTTTCTATGATGAGTTTATTTACAACCACTGGGTCGATGCCACTGCTGGTGGAGTTTTATTCCCCGAGGGTATCACCAGCCCAGTAGTCAGCACGTCTGTGCTGATATGAATTATCATTGATATGGTCATATTTATAAATTAACTGTTTACAAAACTTTGAATTTTTGAAATACTAAGGCTTTTCTACCTCAGGTAGAGATTACCTTAGCTGTATTTGGCAAAACTGTTAGGCATTTTGGTCCTCAATGCTCTTCAACATCGTTCTTTATTTGGCCTATGTAAATTTTTTGGATTCGAGCGTCACTGATGAGTCTTTTGTAGACGAAATGCGCGTCTGTCGTAAGTACAAAGTTTAAATCCTGGTATCTATGATGAGTTTATTTACAACCACTGGGTCCATGCCACTGCTGGTGGAGTTTTATTCCCCGAGGGTATCACCAGCCCAGAAGTCTGTGCTGATATGAATTATCATTGATATGGTCATATTTATAAATTAACTGTTTACAAAACTTTGAATTTTTGAAATACTAAGGCTTTTCTACCTCAGGAAGAGATTACCTTAGCTGTATTTGGCAAAACTTTTAGGCATTTTGGTCCTCAATGCTCTTCAACTTCGTACTTTATTTGGCCTTCGTAACTTTTTTGGATTCGAGCGTCACTGGTGAGTCTTTTGTAGACGAAATGCGCGTCTGGCGTAAGTACACAATTTAAATCCTGGTATTTATGATGAGTTTATTTGACGAAAACACTGTAGAGGATTTCATTAAAATACTAAATTTTTTATCGACATCATATTTGTTGAGTTTGGTGGATTGATATTTCAACAGACAATTTCAATTTCATAGATGGACGACATCAAACTAAAATCTAT